TGGTTTTTTTTTTCTTCGGAGGTGGGAGACAAAATTGACCTAGCATAAGCTCTCAATTGATAAACATGTCCTCATAGAACTTTATCTCCTTGTCCCAGTACTTTATAACCGTCGTAGTCTGATTCTCGTCTTTTGTACAGCGTAAATTTCTACAACTTCATCTTCTCTATATTTTACAGATTTCTCTTTACCGTTGTTGAGCTCTGCAATAACAAAGTACAGGACACGCCGTTTCTCTCTCAGTCGTCGATCTATCTCGGCCTCACCGAAACACAATATCGTTGTTTGCGCGCATACACACGCACTCGCACATACACACAAACACACACACACACACACACACACACACACACACACACACACACACACACACACATATAAACAAACACAAACACACAAACACACGCACACACACACACTCATAAACAAACAAAAACACACGCACACACACAAACACACACACACATGCAGAGACACAGAGAGAGAGAGAGAGAGAGAGAGAAAGAGAGAGAGAGAGAGAGGCAGACAGACAGACAGACAGACAGACAGACAGACAGACAGACAGACAGACAGACAGACAGAGAGCGAACGAGCGAGAGAATTGTGTCTGAACGATTAAGGTGTAAGGGCCATAATCATTATAATTCCATAAAACCCTCACAAGACCTACAGGGGAGATAACAACTTTTTTTTTTTTATTATTATAGTAGAGGGTTTTACGGCGCTCGCAACTGCATAAGGTCATATGAGCGCCAAGGGGTGAGTGTCAACAGGGAAGTCTTTACCGGGAATCAGACTTACTCTGTTCACCTCTCTAGCTTCAACAGCACAAGGTCTGCTTCGACTATCAAGCCACCCCGGAAATAGCAGGTCACAAGAGTGTGACAAACATACAAAAGAAGTAGAGGAAAATGACAATAGTAAGGATTAGGAAAGAAAAAGCAGCAGTTCCCTGTTGTAGATCAGGCACAGTGACATGAATCAGCCCATTTACAATTCTACTGTGCTTGAACGAGAAATGTCCCCCCATTGACAATGGCCTAAAGACACTACAGTCAGTGGCACTGCCCCGGGGGGAAATAACAACTTTTAAAGATGCTTTATTTAAAAACAACGCTCATTAATTCACAGATGTCTTGTTGTTCCTTCATTACGTCGTCTCCAAAGAATCACTTTTTTTTTAATTATGCATAACCTTCTCTTTGTAATGGTAAGCAATGTGCTTATCTCTGTTCAAGATTATAGTTCTATATATTGTTTGCTTTACTTTCTATTTCTGCGTTCTGTTTACTTTGTTCTGGTTTCCAATTTTCACAATTTTTTCACACTTTTTTATCGGGGGGGGGGGGGACAGAATCTACTAGCATTTTAGTATAACTAATCTTTGTTCTTGTCTTTGTATAGGTGAGTTATATGCAAAGCGTCACAGATTAACATGAAAAATAATGTTAGTAGGTACAGGAAAAAAAATCGTTATTATCGAATATCACACAAAATGTTGCCAGTGTATAAAATTGATAATATTTATTTTAGTGAATTATATTCAGTGTACATCAGTATTGCACTTTTTTCATACCATCAGCCTCTGTCTGTCTGTCTACCTGTCTGTCTGTCTGTCTGTCTGTCTGTCTCCCTCTCTGTCACTCTCTCTCTCTCTCTCTCTCTCTCTCTCTCTCTCTCTCTCTCTCTCTCTCTCTCTCTCACACACACACACACACACACACACACACACACACACACACACACACACACACTCTCTCTCACACACACACACACACACACACACACACACACACACACACTCGCGCACTCCGGCGCAGATTTGTGGGGGGCACTCGGGATAGGACGAAGCGGAATAGGTTAAATACTAAATGACAGATATAAAGAGCTCTGA